AGACAAACCTAGGATTGAAATAGTATAGGCATGAAGGCCATCCTGTAGAGGCTGTTTGTGTCTCATCCTTATCTGCGACTTGAAATTTTAAAATTTGGCTTCGAGGCACTTGTATATCTCGCGTTATGCGCAGTTTTCGATTTTGGGCTTATTTACCACCCATTTACTTTAAAAATAGGAATTCGAAATTCTGTAAGTCTGTAAGTGTAAAATATGTGTTCGCTTTCGTAAGTGCCTCGAGCCCGGACATTTCAAGTTTTCAAATTATAATACATTTGTCACTCTTTTCTCTCGGCACCCAAGAAGGCAGAAATTTTCCGAGAATGTCAGCATATCTTGTACGTTACTGAAAGGTAGAAAAATCTTTCACAGATACGCCGAACTTGAGCGCGCATTTTGCTGACAACACCTACATGAAAAACTCACAGTAATCAGAAACACTGGGCGCCGAAACCTCACGCGGCCCTGCATTTGCAATACCACACATTCCCTTTTCCAAAGTATGCACCAAGCTGTTCAAAAACATTGCTAATCTGAGTGCATGTGTTACATTATAAAGCAACAATTACTTGTAAACTTTATGACTTGACTGCTTCAAGATTTGCGCAAAAAAAGCGTTGTCGCACCGCAAACCTAATGCTCTTTATTAGTTGGATCTATATGTGATTAAGGCTTTTGTCTTGTGCTCGAGTATTTGGCAAATAAATAATTAGTGACAAGCGCTTTTGAACGCTTCCACCAATTATGCTTTTTGCCAATGAAGAAAATATTTTTGTAGATATTATCCTATTTTCAGTGCTGGTTTAAATCTGCTTCTTCCCTACTTGGCGAGTTAGGAGGCTGTACTGACGATTTCCACTTCTACTTGCATCCGATGCTTTGCCTGTGTTTACAGCTAAGGGATGAAACAAGCACTGCAAGCTTATCTGATCCTTTCAAAAATGTAAATTTCAAATAACTATATTACTACATATTCGATGTTATTTTTGCAAACGATAACGATCATATTCAAATTTTTTCATCTCCTTTCTTTTTGTAACAGCTGTAACTTCCAACGAGGTGGAAAATACAGTATGAATAATAAATATCAGGAAAGCTACTGGATGTATGGTTGTATCAAAAAAGAACTAAAATAAAGAAATCATTCAGCGCGGAGTTGATTTTTGATTTTCTGCACAAGCCAAGGCTCCACGTCGAGGTAGCTGTTCACC